CGTAAAATGAAAATAACGCTGACATCTCATTTTTAACGGATGTGCTGGGTGCGATGGATAAATTGCCCTCCGAAGGGCGTAAAAATGAAAATAACGCTGACATCTCATTTTTAACGGATGTGCTGGGTGCGATGGATAAATTGCCGTCCGAAGGGCGTAAAAATGAAAATAACGCTGACATCTCATTTTTAACGGATGTGCTGGGTGCGATGGATAAATTGCCGTCTGAAGTGCGTAAAATGCTGACATCTCATTTTTAACGGATGTGCTGGGTGCGATGGATAAATTGCCGTCCGAAGGGCGTAAAATGAAAATAACGCTGACATCTCATTTTTATCGGATGTGCTGGGTGCAATGGATAAATTGCCGTCTGAAGGGCGTAAAAATGAAAATAACGCTGACATCTCATTTTTAACGGATGTGCTGGGTGCGATGGATAAATTGCCGTCTGAAGGACGTAAAAATGAAAATAACGCTGACATCTCATTTTTAACAGATATATTTACCGAAATTACACAAAATTATCTTGATATACTAAAGAGTAAATTTATTCAATTAAATGGCAATTGGCTTCAACCACGGCCTCCAGACGACCTTGGAAACTTCTGCATCACTTCTGGATGGTCTCCTTGCTTAAGATGGTGAATACTGCCATAATCTCTACCTCCAGTTCATCTTTATTGTTACAAGGAGTTTTGTTGATCTATCACTCAACTGCGCCCCACAGATAATAATCAAGGAAGTTGCAGTCTGGGGAAATTTTTTTAAATTTTTAATTGCACATGCAGAGTTTTATATGTGCATATAATGAATCTAACATATGTTTATCTAAAACAAACGGTGTGTACGTGAAAACATTCTCAAATCAACATGCGAAAAACCAGCATAATGCCTACTGGACATACACACACACACACACAATTCTGAATATTCGTTAGCAGCTGATGCCCACGTCGAGAAACTAGATTTTACAGGGTGCGATGGGTAAATTGTCGCCAGTTTGTATTTTTAATTTCGCGTATGCGTGTTGTTTGTTTTTGATTTTGTCCACTGCACGGTATAGCAGGGTCAGTTGGGCACCGTCTGTGAGATAAAGAGCACCATGACGCAATACACTCTGCCAGAAATTTGGAAACGGCATGCTCTAATAAGAACATTTCAGAGTGTTTATGTGTCAATCTGAGTCAGCACGGAGGCTTAAATCAAGTGTCTTGAAGAGGTATGACTGCCCTGTGTTAAGATGAGGGGGGGGCATAAGTCCTAGACCGCGTGGGAAGATGAATGGAGGCATAACGTCGCCACCACCAGTGGTCACGCCAAACACCTTCGTAATCACCATTAGACTCATCCAACTCTTTCCGAATCCTCTGCACTGCCTTTGGATTGACACCCAATCACTCTGAAATGTCCATGTTGAAGTTTCCGGTGCGAATCCCAAGCATGTCGTTTCCAAATTTCTGACGGAGTGAATTACGTCATGGTGCACCTTTTCTTAAAAACAGTGCCCAACTGACCCTACTATCTTGTCCAGGCGACAAAATCAAAAATAGACAATGCGCATGCGCGACATTAAAAAAAAAAAGTAAAATGGCGATAATTTACCCATCGCACCCTTTATATATATATGCGTGTGTATGTGTATAGGTATGCATGAGTGTATGTGTATTTATATATATATATGTGCACACATATATGTATATGTATGTATGTACGAGTATGTATAGATATGTTGTTGTGTATGTATGTATATACGTATGTGTTTTGGGGTTTATAAATAGTAGGTCTTTACTTGATTAAATATTCTTTAATTTTTTTATATGTTTAGGTTTAATTTGTAACTTGTAGGTGATATTACTTGCTTGGTTTAATTATTCTTGATTACACATAAGTTCGATTATGAATGCCCTCGTTTTTAGTTTGCGCCCCCCCCTTATTCCCCCTCTCTCTCATCTTCTGTTTTCTTGTAGACATAAGGTTAGTAATGCAAAGTAGACGGAAATTTTTTCACAAATACATCGGCAGTATGAATTGGCTGGATTTGAAGTTTAGATCATATCGTTTTTTTATTGTGCATAGTGTCACCACAAATGTATCCACACCTTTCCGGTGTCTGTTTTTTTAATTTTAATTTAGGCCAGCGAATCGGTGGCGAATTATGCATCGAAAAATAATTCCTATTTATCTGTATCTCACTCATTTAAACCGTTATTTAATTCCTCTCTTTAAAACATCTCTCTGTTAAATTTTAATCCGCACCTTCACCTTTTAGGCCTTCCTGTTCTTCTTTCTTCTGTTACACCCTCTCTCTAGAGCTTTCATACATTTCCCTCTCACTCTTGGTTCCCACTCCCACACATACACTTCCACTAAAATTTTGTTTTTTATACCAGGAGTTATATTTTCCGATTTCTTTTTGAATTTGTAAGTCTGATGAATTGGGTCGTGATTACGATTCCAATGTAATAAATTATAACGATTTGAGCCTTTTATATATATATATATATATATATATATATATATATATATATATATATATATATATATATATAAGTGCGCAGGTATGCAGAAAATAGAAAAGAACACGTTGGATTGAATTTAACAGAATTTAAATTTGAGTGAGATACAGATAAATATGAATCATATTTTTAAACAAAAAAAATATTATATATATGTGTGTGTGTGTGTGTGTCTGGATGGCTATATATATATATATATATATATATATATATATATATATATATATATATAGCCATCCACAGACAGACTGTTTCCAGCTTTTCAGTGTGACTAGACGTTCGATTGATTCAAGCCGGGATCGAAATCCTACCGCTAGGCTATCGTCGCACGGTAGAAAGAAATGGAAATTTTAATGTTTCTATCCGAAATACTTCAGTGGCCCGGGGAACATACATACATCAATATGGAACCTAAACTACTCATTGGAAAATATACCAACATCAAACATACAAGACTACAAAATCAAACTAACAGAAAAATAGAACACTTTATAAAATGCATAAGATGGAATGTATTATCTTTCAGAAACAAAGACAATTACAATGGTGTCAACAACATCGATAATATTAACAAATTTGGATTTACATAAACGAAATTCCCGCTACATTAAGACGGCTTCATCGCTTTTTAATATAACTTAACAAACATAATCAAAAATTTGGAAATAAGAAAATTCATAATTTCCAAAATTGATAAACAACTCAAATATATTATTTATAAAAGCAGATAAATCCAGGATAATCTATAAAATAGAAAAAAAAGTCAGTTAAAATAAACGCGCTAAGAAAGAAGTCACTAAATTTTACAAAGCTACTAATAACAAAATAGAAAATGATATAAACAAAGAAGCAAAAAACATTGCCACTAAACTAAAATTTTTAAAAAATACGATAAAACACCTGGCAAAATAAAGTCATTTATTAAATTAAACGACCCCGAGGAAAACTTCACGGCCAAACCAACATGCAGATTACTAAACTCCATAAAAAGCAATATTGGGAAAATATGCAAACAAATATTAGAAAAAATATGCTCAAAGCTAAGAAGAATATTAAACATAGATCAATGGAAAAACACTAAAGCAACACTCAATTTGTTCAATAACATCAGTAACAAATAAAACTGCTCTTTTATATGACTAGACAAAAAATATTTTACCCATCTTTTAATGAACATTCACCAAACAACGCATTAAACATAGCAATACAATACATCAATATCCCCAGTAAGTATATATATATATATATATATATATATATATATATATATATATATATATAACATTGCAAAAAATCAATATTATGCTACAATAAAAATATGGACAAAAAAGGATAAATAATAACAATAATGATAATAATAATAATTTTGATGTAACAATGAATAGCTATGACGGTGCATTTATGCTAATACGTAGGCATATATATATATATATATATATATATATATATATATATATATATATATATATATATATAAAAAGAAATATAATGTAGTGGTTCCAACGAGAAAAAATATGTATATTAAAAAAGAAGAAAGAGAGGTGCCGCAAACGTTTTTGGTTGTAATGTGGATTTATTTAGAAAAAATATTATATTATGCTTTGTTTTATATTATATATATATATATATATATATATATATATATATATATAATATAATAAATAAATAATATATATATATATATATATAATCAATAAATAAACAATATTAACAAAAATATAGGTCTATACAGAGACGACGCTCAATCAATTCTAACAAAAAAAAATCAACGGCAGAACTACAGAAAAAATAAAACAAACAATAATAAAAAAAAATTCCTAACCCGAGGATTTACAATAGAAATTAAATTAAAATAATAGTAAATTTTTTTATTTATACCATTCGACCTAAACAACGGAATATACAAACCGTACAGAAAACCAAACAACAACCCAATATACATTAACAAATATTCTAACCATCCTCTAACGTATTCAAATAAATACCTATATATATAAGTAACAGAATTTCAATAAATTTTAGTCGCCTAAAATATTCAATGAAAACAAAAAACAAAAAAGAAATATGAGTCAGTCCTAAGAAATAGCGCATATTCAAAGAAACTAGAATAAAAAAATGAAAATAATTCAAACAAAAACAAAAGAAAAAGAAACATAATTTGGTTCATCTCCACCCCCCCTACTAATACAATAAAAACAAATATAGTGAAAATATTCTTCGAAATAATTGGCAAAAATCATCCGTCAAAACAGCAAATTATCAAAAATTATCAACAAAAATACCATTAAAATTAGTTACAGTTGAATGTATATCATGGAAAAAATAACTAAGCACAGTAAAAAATGCAATATCCCTCAACCAAAAAATACTCAAAAAACAAACAATAATTACTACACTAATAACATGCAAAAAGCCTGATGTGCCGTTAACCATTCAGCCACAGAGAACTTCCAGTTAGCAAAGTTCAAAGAGATATCATCTTACCTCTATCCATCAGTAATAAATAGGTAGCTCTAGTTAGATAGATAGATAGATAGATAGATAGATAGATAGATAGATAGATAGATAGATCGATGCTGAAGAAACTGAGATAGATAAATAGATGGATAGATAGAAACAGATCTCTAGATAGATATGAATAAACTGAGATAGATAGATAGATGTTGAAGAAACTGAGATCTCTAAATAGATAGATAGATAGATAGATGTTGAAAAAACTGAGATAGATAGATAGATAGATAGATAGATAGAAAGAAAGAAACAGATTTCTAGATAGATATAAATAAACTGAGATATCTAGATAGATAGAGAGTTAGACAGATACGAAAAATAGATATGAACAGACTCAACTATCTATATATCTAGCTAGTTAGCTATCTATGTAGATATCAGTTTACCTCTATCAGTGATAGATAGGTAGATCTCTAGATCTCTAGATAGATAGATAGATAGATAGATAGATAGATAGATATGAATAAACAGGTCTCCAGATAGATATGAATAAACTGAGATCTCTAGATAAATAGGAAGTGAGATAGAGATGAATAGACTGAGATAGATAGATAGATAGATAGATAGATAGATAGATAGATAGATAGATAGATAGATAGATATGAAATTCATCCAAAACAGAGCATGCAAAATCCGAAAGCCTTGATAAAGAGATAAGTTATGAACGACAGATTGGGAAAAGGTTGTTCAGCACATGTTTCACACAATTTTGAAATCAAAAATGTTTTCTTGCAAATCGACAAAGATTTGTAAATTACAACAGACTTGTGCTTCCGAATTTTGTTAATTATTTTCATAAGAATCTCCGCCAAAGAAGTAATAACTTTTGCGTTTCATTAAAATGTTGCTAATTGCCACAATCTCGAGTTAATTAGTTTTCTAATCGTTTAATTGGAAATCAGGAAACTAGAATTTGTCAGAAAAGGCGAGATCAAAGAACTTTCGGGTGTTTCATGTTCTAATTGGAAACTTAATGACTTTTGGCTATTCAAGAGAAAGACAAGGCAATGCCTATATACAAGTAAGGATATCTTCACAGACATTCGTCATTCACCACTTTTGTATGCTTTCTGTTCAGTTTGCTTAGGCAATAAAACATGTTGTTAGTTGTACATTATTGTTTTTTATATTTATTCTCTCTTGAGGAATCTCCAATGCATATGCAATATCCCTCAACCCCACAAAATTCTTAATACTTATACAAGCAATATATTATACGAATTTCAGTTTATAATATTTGGATAATTATGACATGATCAACATCATGGATAAAAATATTGAGTTTTATATAATGTTTTTTTTTGTAGACTTAGCATTACAGAAACAAATTCACAGATTGGGACCCCCCCACCAAAAAAAACCCCAACCCAGAATGATGTCAAAATCTGTTAAAGGTTTTCTTCCTTTAATAGTTGGTTGCGCTTTGTTTAATTTGTTATGTATATAAATCTAAGTAGAAAAAAAACAAATGTTGACAAGTCAGAAAGCACTTTTCGATCAGGCTTGAAGTACGCAACAGCCCTGCCTACATACAAGTAAGGGTATCTTGAGACACAGACATCTTCATTCACCACTTTTGTATTTTTTCTTTTCAGTTAGATTAGGCAATAAAACATATTGTTATGTTGTACATCATTGTTTGTATATTTATTGAACCCAACATTGTAATGCCTGACTTTCAGTTGCATAAAAATCGCAGAGATTGACACGTCTACAACGAAAAACAATACCATGTCCGGTGGCAAAAGCTGTTGTTGGCCCCAGGGTTGACAGTATCGCCTTAGACACCGAAGTTGGCGCCTAATGAGGGTAGGGTGTCGCACGTACTTTCACATGTTGTATGAAGAGAAATAAATTAATCTGAGATTTTTTTTTGAAGAAACTCCCATATACACAATATCCATCAATCAAAAGATTTCTCAACACTTATACAAGCAATATACAGGGTGTCCATAAAGTTCGGGTGCACTTTAAAAAATTTATAACTTTATTTGTATTTGCGATAGAAATAATTTGTAAAAAGGATAAGAAAGAAGTAAATCCTTATTTCTTTAAGGTTTTATTGAAATTTTATTTAAGTTTCCACATGTCCTCCATCATTAGCAATACAAAGGGTAATACGATTTTGCAGTTCACAGAAAACATTTGCCAACTGATTTACAGTAATGCCTGAAATCACATTAGTTATTTTAGCTATACTTAAAACTAGGTACATTAAACTTTATAACATTTTTTACAGATTATTTCTATCGCAAATACAAATAAAGTTATAAATTTTTTGAAGTGCACACGAACTTTATGGACGCCGTGTATTATGTGAGTTTTTCAGTTTATAATATCCGCCATTATTCTGGCTAGCTGATTCAGCTGTTCCGTTGAAAGCAAATCACAAGCTTTTGATAGTGAGTTCGTATTTTAGGCTTGGATGACCTTGCCGTTTTTAAAAAAAACTTCGTGCTAACTGAAATAAGTCAGAGGCATGAAATGTATCTGTCTACATTTCTGAGACGAGCTATTATGTACACTATTTACATTATTCGGACTATCGTTCTCATATTTGTCGCCATATTTATTACAACATTTCAGCCGTTGTACGCTCCGGCCTACTTCAGACCTTTATCTAACGCCTTTATCCACTGTGCCATGTGATCTATGCTTCTCTGAATTCCCTTGGTCAGTTTGACAGTTTTATTGGTCCTGGAGAGGGGATGTGTCTCTGTTTAGTGTTTGTGTGTGTGTTATTTGGTTCTTAGGGAGTGAGTGAGTATGATATGTGTAAGCGTGTGTATTGCTGTGGGTGTGTGTTATCTTTTGGCTCATTAGGGAGTGAGTGAGTATGATGTGTGTAAGTGTGTATATTCGTGTGGGTGTGCGTATAAGTGTGAGGCCTCCACACTTCCGTAAGCCTGTCTGTCGTGTGTGGGTGAGAAATGTGGGTAGGTTTCGATTTGTTGAGTTATATATTACTACTATCTATATTGTTAAATTTATGGTTTAGCCCGGCTGGTTATTTTGTTTTTAGACGTTGTATCCACTTATTTTCATGGAACTCTAAAATCTTTCTAATGTTATCTGCTCTGAACTTTTCTATTCTCTCAATTATAGTGAATTTGGCATGGGTTTTGAAATCATGTTTTTCCAGGCGGAAATGTTGTTCTACAGGTAATAATTTTTCATGGGGAGTCGACTTAATTCGATTGCGATAATTATTAATTCTGTAGTGAAAGGGCCATTCAGATTTTCCTACATATTGTTTCTGGCATAGTGTGCATTCTAGGAGGTAAATTATGTTATGACTTCTACAGTTAGAATCGTGGTAGATTTTGAAAGTAAATTTAGTGATTGAGCTAGTGAATGAATTCGTGTTTTTAATATGGTTGCAGCATAAACTTCTTTTGTTGTTACATGGTTGGGAAAATCCTGTTGTTTTTGTTCTTAGTTTATTAAGGATTACCTTGTCCCCTGAAATGTGGTTACTACCTATGATTTCTTTTAGGTTCTTAGGTCTACGATATGCAAGAAGGCCGGGTTCCTTAAACAATATTATAGGTCTGTTTTGAGATGTAGTATTTCCCAGCGACGTTCGATTATTTGGGATAGTGGAGGCAGAGTGGGATTGAAAGTGGTTACTAGAGGGATGCGGCTAGAATTATTTTTAATCTTGTACATTAGGGTGTCTTCTCTAGGTGTGGAAATTGCTTTATTTATTTGTTCCCTGATTAGGTGTTGTTTATAGCCACGTGTTGTGAATTGATGCTCCAGATTTTCAATGTGTTTATTTAATTCTTCATTGTTCAAGTGCTTGTGAATAGGGAAGGTTCTCTTTGAGGTGTTTAGAGTGGGAAGACTTAAAGTGTAGATAGTTATGGGTGTCGGTGATTTTAGTGTGTAGTGTCGTTTGTAATTTCCTGTTTTCATTTATGTAAATGCGGGTGTCTAAAAATGTTACTGATGTTGTGGATTTTTCATAGTCAAACTTAATTGAGTCGTGCACTGTGTTTAGGGTCATAAGGAATTGGGTAAGTTTGTCATCACTACCCGTGTATACAAAGAATATATCATCGATATATCTTGCATAGAATACGCAGTCGCTACCAATGATTGGATAGATATGGGTCTCCTCAAATTTTCCCATGAATATTGTAGCATATGATAGAGCTGCAATGGTGCCCATGGCACAACCTCTTATTTGAAGGTAGTGTGTTCCATTGAAGTTGAAAGTATTCAATGTGGGACATGCTTCATGAGTTTTATGATGACTTCTGTGGGGGGTCTTGTTTTCTTCTCTTAGTAAGTGCTTCCTGAAGGGCGGTTGGCCCTTCGATGTGTTTAATGTTTGAATAGAGTGACCTAATTATATATATATATATATATATATATATATATATATATATATATATATATATATATATATATTGTTACGCCCGGGGTTTCGTTGGGACTACGATAGCCGGGACGCAACGAGAAAATAAAAAAATAAGTAAGAGATCCCAAGGTTCGATATAAAAATAAAGAAAAAAGAACGTTGGGAGGGAATTCTCCCAATTCCGGACGTCGGTAAACGCAGAGAGAAAATGAACAATTCGCAGACACAGAACAACATAAGACAACACGAGAATATATAATACAAAGTTTTTATTTCTAGAATACACGGAGTGCGAATATAAGAAAAAGAAAAAGAAAACTAAATAATACAAGGGACGGGGAGATGAGTTACCAATTATTAAACAGATACTAATCCGGCGAAATTCATATGAATACAGAAATAGCAGACTATAAGATATGGAAAAACATGCAGAAACTTACATAAGTTTGGAATCGACGTCGATTGACAATTATCGGGGTACAATTTGTTCAAAGAATATTTGTACAATTCTTGATGGGATTGACAATGTTGATCTACAATCTCGCGTCGGTCCTTTGGTTTTTGGTGGCATCTAATTCTTCTAATGGCGAATAGCTAAGACAGGTTTTTGGTGACGTCCGACTCCTCTGATAGCCAGCAACTGTGTGTCGTTGTTGTTACCTTAACACGTCCGAAACGAAAACTGCTATATTTTGAGTCACGTGTTGGTCCCCGAAAAAGGTATGCGTCATTCACGGACCCTGTTAATATCATCCACTGTTATCTGTCAAACAGCGTTATTCTTGGCCAGTGACTATGGAACTGGTTAACATCATTCACACCTAAATATCACAGGATATTTATACACTTCTTTGAAAGTAACGGATGGGATTGACAATGTTGATCTACAATCTCGCGTCGGTCCTTTGGTTTTTAGTGACATCTAATTCTTCTAATGGTGAGTATCTAAGACTGGTTTTTGGTGACGTCCGACTCCTCTGATAGCCAGCAACTATGTGTGGTTGTTGTTATCTCAACACGTGCAAAACGAAAAACTGCTATATTTTGAGTCACGTGTTGGCCCCCAAAAAAGGTATGCGTCATTCACAGACCCTGTTAATATCATCCACAGTTATCTATCAAACAGCGTTTGTTTTGACCAGCAACTATGGAACTGGTTAACACCATTCACACCTATCTGTCAAACAGCGGACCAGGTAGGAGATGGGGGTAGAAGGGAAGGTTCTTTTCCGAGAACTGGCCCTGA